AAATTTGAAATATATTATAAAATATATTGTAAAATATTATAAATTGCTCACAACTAAATTGATCTCAACTTGGTATATACTCTTATCTTCTATGTATAATATTTTAAAATGATATTATTTCGGAATGTTTTACTGTCAGTTAGGGTGCCATTACATGAAGCGCGGAAACGCGGATTAGCGTAACGCGGAACGAGAAAAAATATGAGAAAATGAAAGAGAAAGTAAATGAGACAAAAGATCACTGCCATGATTGGTTGTTTTGTTCGCGCATGTGCAGTTTATTTTTGCCCACGAAAGATGGCACCAGAGAGTTGCCTTACTATATATTCTGTATCTATGGATTAAAGGAAGCTTTAACGGAACGGTTTTCATTCAAATATTAATTTACTCGGATAGTTGTTTTTTGGCGCGAAAGTATTTGCAGGATAAAAATTAGTATAAAAGGTTTAGATTGATTAATTTTATCGTACATATCAACGCAAGGTAATTTTTCGCATTAAAAACCAGATCTTATTTCCTTACAGTGTTCTAACCTGTATCCTATACCTTGATTCCTACCGCCAAAAGATCAAATCCTTATTGAAGCAAAAAAAATTGTTTAGAAGTTTTGAAAAATAAGAATATGTATATATTATATTCTCTTATATATTTCTCTGTTTAGGAAAATGGAAGATTCGATAGCGACACGTTTAAAAAGGCTGGTGACAAATAGCAACGAAGTCCTAGAGTTCAGATTAATCCGCGATCTTGACGATTTGAACTCGAAAGAGACAGTATTTAAACCAGAAATGACTTATCAAGTGTTTGGAGATAGGTTCGTTATCAAAATGGCAATTACCCGTATATACACGATCTCTATTAACAAATATTATCCCGAAAGATTGTATATGAAATATATATATATATGAATCATTTGTCATTCTTTTTTTTATTTGNAGGGAAATAATATTTGGTTATCAGGATCTAAAAGTACAACTGTTCTATTCAGCGGGTTGTTTGGAAACATATTTGGGAATGACATATACAGAAAAAGTAAATGCAGAATATGAAGGAGTCGAGGCTGATGAAGTTTTAACAAAGATTGCCGCTAAGCTTGCACCTGATGTCTACTATAGCTTAACCAATTTTACTAATGCGCTTGCCAAGGATGACACATTTACACCATATGGAAAATTGATACACTTGTAATGATTATATATATATATATAATTATAGATAAAGGTACCACAAGACGATTTGAGGTCTACAAAGCTGATATGAATTATAAAGGATTCAGGGAGTACCATCAAAGAATTCAAACATTTCTTCTGTGGTATATAGACGCAGCTCTTTTTATTGACGTTGACGACGATCGCTGGCAATACTTTAATATGTAAGTATTATTTGATACATTTGCTATATTTACATCTTTTATTATCTCAATGATAAATAAATACTTGCAAATATAATATACATGATTCTGATTAAATAACCATTCCCTTGAAACAGATTTGAAAAATATACCACATCCATGGGTATATCTCGATATGCTACGATTGGTTTTGTCACTGTGTACCGATATTATGCGTATCCGCAGCATATTCGGCCGCGCATCGCCCAATTTTTAATTTTACCGCCGTTTCGTCGGATGGGTCTTGGTACGCACTTGTTGCAAGCAATTTATCGCGAGTACAATGCGAGAAATGAAGTTAAAGATATAACAGGTAAAATGAAAAAATGATCGAGAAAAGAATGTATCGTTCGTTAATAATTTTTTCTTAATGAATTTATATTTGCAGTTGAAAGTCCGTCCGAGGTATTTCAACGACTGCGAAATTACGTGGACGCTTTAAATTGCAGCACATTGCCTAGTTTCAAGCCAGAACGTTTAAAGAAAGGTTTTGATGATGAAATGGTCACTGAAGCTAGGGACAAATTAAGAATAAACAAGGTATCTACATTAACATGCAATTTAGTTTTCACTTACCGCCATTATCTTTCTTTTTTTCGTTCTTTCATATAAATATTTTGCCTGGACAGAAACAAGCTCGCATAGTGTATGAAATTCTACGACTGCGCGCGACGAATGTTGCAAATGCGGAAGAATATCGAGCGTATAGATTAGATGTGAAGAATAGACTGAATATACCATTTAAAAGAAAACAGAATGAAGAGGCAAAAATAGAACGTGCATTGAAAAATGAGGATAAAGGAACATTTACTCATGATAATGGTCTACCATCTGAAGAACAACGAAAAGAGATACTGGAAAAGGAATATCGTCTTTTGGAAGATGAATATAAAACGATTATTAAACGCTTGGAATACGCTACCGATCTGTGAAATGTTGTATTAATTGAATTTGCATTAAGTAATTAAGGATTTTTTAAGCTGTGAGAAAATATATTAATGTAATTTCTAATGTTTTATATTTGTGTGTACGATTATGCTATCCTCTTTAAATTTGTCTTACTTTTCTATTTCTTGTTTGATGTTTTATTGTTTTCTATATTTATTACTTCAGTAGAGACACACACGGCCGTGCTCAGTTTGCAGTCATCGGTACGCGTGTCATTTTACAATCTGTCAAAATGGTTAAATAACCGTCAATAGATTCTTCAAAATTTCTAGTATAAGATTCGTTATCATCATCAATAAAGAAACAATAATACAAGTATCTTCGTACTTTGTTGAATACACAAATTGAAATTCTGCATTCCGAATATTATTCGTCTTCGCGATGTCATACATCATATTTAAACGCTAAATAAAGTGAGAGTGGAGTTGCGAATTATGGTAACTCGAAAGATAGAATGCCGTCTGTCGTCCTGCGAATCTCATGTCGCATCTGAACCAGACTCCGTCCGAGGAAGCCACATTGTTAGCCCGGGGTTACAAGCTGCTAAGAAAACTCGGCGAAGGTTGTTACGCAAAAGTTAGTATCATAATTAAAAAATTAAATTTTTCCGCCCAAATGTTTCTAAATAATAACGTTCTCTTCGTTTATTGTAGGTGTACTTGGCCGAGTATAAGCCGGAACACGAGTCTGATCGAAATAACATCCTGGCCTGCAAGATCATCAACACTGCGAATGCGCCGAAAGACGTTGTCCGGAAGTTTCTGCCGCGCGAACTAGACATCCTGGCGAAGCTGAATCATCCGCACGTTGTACACGTGCACAGTATCTTTCAGAGGCATACCAAGTACTTCATATTCATGCGTTTCGCCGAGAATGGCGATCTTCTCGATTTTGTACTGAGGAACGGCGCGGTATCGGAAAACCAAGCCCGCGTGTGGTTCCGGCAACTCGCTTTAGGTATCGTTATATTCGTATCGTGAAGAAATCGCGGTGTTAATTTGTCGATCGATTACAAATATATGAAAATATATTAGTTATTAATCATAACTCTGATCTTAGTTGCCTCTTCAAAACATCAATGTCATATTTTATGATGTTATATCAATATTGCACGTGATTTTTTCATAACGCAAATTCCCGTTTTTTTCAGGCCTTCAGTATCTACACGAAATGGAGATAGCGCATCGCGACATCAAATGCGAGAACGTTCTCCTGACAGCCAACTACAATGTAAAACTGGCAGACTTTGGTTTCGCCCGTTATACGCTCGACACTCGCGGTAAGCGCGTTCTGAGCGACACGTATTGCGGTTCGCTGTCGTACGCGGCGCCGGAGATCCTCCGCGCCTATCCGTACAATCCCAAGATATCCGATATATGGTCGTTAGGGGTGATCCTCTACATATTGCTGAACAAGGCCATGCCGTTTGATGAGGATAACATAAAGCGTCTGTACGAGTTGCAGATAACGCGCAAATGGAAATTTCGTAGTAAAGTAAAGGATAACGTGACCGATCTCGTGAAGAAGCTCGTGAACAACATGCTCGAGCCAGATATATCTAAACGCTGGCGTTTGGATCAGATCGTGCATAGCGATTGGATCGCTATGGATCCGCGTCTTCTGGTACTCACTCCTGCGGAACAGACCGCGCTGAACCACGCGATCGAGGAGCGAAAGAGACACGAAGAGAAGTTTGCGAGGAGGGAACCGGCACGAACAGAAAGCCTTGTACGATTATTTTTAAACATTCTTCATAAATCCAAGTGTCTCTTAGCGTCGCTTCCCTCGTATGTCGCGCTGACGATGCGTAGAACGCTGCTGGTCATCTACCTGGCGTACACGCGTTTTTTATCGCATATTCAATTGTAAGATTAACCGAACTTGCAATGCAATTGACATCAAACGTGTCGATTCGGTTACGTTTCGCAAATCGAATTTATATTAATTAAGAAGAATACAAATAGCAAGTAATATCGCACGAGATTACGAGTACCCGTTTTTCAGAAATGGTTCAAAATCGAGGAGAAAAGGGGGATCAACAATGACTACAAATCGCGTGCAGCAGAGGAAGTAACGATTCTTAAAGACGCCGCAAAAGTATAGTGTTAGAATTAATTGCATATTATATATCAAGTTAAATTAGGCAAAACTTTTTTCTCTCTTCCTTAGGCGACAATTTCGACGATTATGACAGCCGGAACTTAGCTTAAAAATCCTGGTCCCTACTTCATCCCTACAACTCGCCTTTTTACACATATTTATTTAGTACTTGTGAAAATAAAACAACTAGAAATAATTTGAGATGCACTGCAATTCAATATATTTTTTTCAGAACATTTATCATAGATATAATTAACGTACACATATATAAATTTTCTTCTTACATTTTTCTCGTTTTCGATTTGCAACAGTAAGAATAATAAATATACGAGTGTAAAACATATTTACAATATATATATATACGCGTTTATTGAACTCGCAATTAAACTCATTTGCAAGGATTACTAAAGAAATTACGCATTCTAATTACCCACGTATCGCGCTTTTAAAACAGCCGTGTTGTTTGCCGTTGTCGCTTCGACGTAATAATCAGCACCGAGAGCGAAAGTCTTTATTTTTCCATTTAGAGGCATTTTAAAAATATGTTCAGGATGAGAGACTCCTTCGAGATTCCACATACCGTCAGATCGTATTAGTAAATATTGATTGTTCGGTGTCTTGCTGATTACAAACGAATTTGAACCTGGCAAAATATATCGCTCAAACTCCTTCCACACTTGATAACGCAATATCAAGGTTTGTTGAGACAATCGCAAAATAATCCATATTGAATTATTGATCGGTTCCACAGATGCTTCAAGTATACCAGGCACGTATAATTCTGTCAATGTTTCATAATTTTATAATCTGCTTCATTTATAACAAGACTGTAAATAATGTTTTTTTATTATAACTCACCTCCTTCCCGATAAAGTTGTTCCTCTGCTGCAATATATGAATAAATCCAGATGAAATCCGATGACACTACTACTGCAAACACATCATTATTTATCGGCACTAATTTCTTCGTTATAAACGTGCTGGAATTTGTACCAGTGAAAATATCAAATAATTTCGTATCGTTGCAAAGCGAGGAAATATTTTCCGACTCGCAAAGACAAGTGTTGTTCAGATCTATCGCATTCTCGCTATTAAAAATGCTAGAAGTGATTTCTAATACATTCTCATCTACCGTTTCAAATTTATTCACATAAATTGCACGATCTGTAGAAAAATAATTTGAATTATCAGACTATTTAAATTAATATTAGTGCGTGATTGAAATTATAACTCACTTTGCAATGCAGTTGTTATGTCCTCTACCAATTCTACAACTTTCGTCGTTCTATCCAAGACGACGTCTATTTCATTCTGATTACTAATGTTCGTCAAATCTGTCCTTTCGTAGAGTCCGCTGATTGTAACATTTCCGAAAACTTCAAGATCATTCCTGAAATCGAATGTGCTGTCTATCGTTTGCACCGCTTTATGCTTCTTCATTTGATTATTTGTCAACTCCGTCAGATTTATGTCATTCACGGTGCCGTCAATAATAAGAGAAGGTGCATTAAACTGGCCTTGTATCTTCTTGGTTCCAAACAATGTCTGATTACCGGATTTTAGTAATGCTTCTTCGATCTTGCGACCCATAATCGTACCTTTGACACTAAAAAGGAGAGGTTTAAGTTCTTAACGGCTGTTTAATAATAATATCGCTTGAGCAAATCTCGATTACCTCAAATTGTTCAAGACGATATTATTAAAGGTTTTTCGACCTTTAATTGTAATTAGCTTCTGACAATTTTGAGTTAGAGCGGTGCTAACCAAGTTCGAAAAATCTATATTTAGCAACCAGAGATCTTTAGCTACCAAACTTGAAATCGTCTTTTTTCCGGTGATAATATTCTGTTTCGCGTCATATCTAACAACATCGGTCTTCAAGTCGATTCCGTTGAGCTTACCATCCCAATTGAAATTGTCTATATACGTTGAGCAAAAATAATTTTTTTTTAATTTTTATCAGAAATATTGATTCGTTCTAATTCTCACAAACCGTCTTACTTATATCCAATTCTTCAAAGTGCCACGCAGCATCCACGGTTTGTGCCGTATCTTTCATCAAAGAATTAGTTAGCATATCCTTCAAGCTAATGTCCGAAGATTCAAGAGTTGCATTGTTCGCCGCAATGATAGCGGACACTGCAACATTTTTAAATGTCGAATTTACAGTAATATGCTGTTCTTTCGTTTTGCTCAATAATTTGCCCGACAACTCCGACCACATTTTTACATTTAATGAATTTGTAGGATGCTGAAACAAAAAAATTATTAATTTTTTTTTAAACGATATCTTTTTTCTCGACAAATCTTCCTTTTTAGCGACATCCTTACGTGTATCATAATATCTGCTTTTAAAGTTATATTCTTAACGTTCATGTTGCTACCAGAGAGAATGGTATCCTCGTTTGCCATCCATATGTCCTCGGATAATTGTTTAAGATTCATATCTCGTATATTTTGTACAGTTGGCTCTGTTGAAAACTTGGCTGATCCTGAAAATAGATGTATATATGTCATATTTCAAATCTTTTTGTCGCTCTATAAAATATAACTTGAATTTCAGTGTACCTTGTATAACAAATGTCGATGGTATATTGATTGCGACATAACCGAAAGTCTGAGGCACATTTATCCCAGTTGTTTTCAATGTTGTAGAGATTTGTTTTGAATTGAGATTAGGATGCGCATCTAAATAGGAGAAATTTAACGTCGAACGGGAAGCATATATGTGATTTGATGTAAAACCGTTGGCTGTGCGAGAGAAAAAAAAAAACAAATTAGATTCTTAATCATTTAGAATTAAAGAGAAATATGAATGACTTACCGAATGACACGTGTTCCAAAGATATTACGTCGTTTACTTTCAGCACGTTTTTCATAAAAGACTGTATATTAATGTTATTGATCTTTTCGATGTCGCTATCCGCTTTTACGATTACGTTATTTATTTTTGTAGGTAAAGAGAGATTGAGATAGGCTGGCGTTTCAAGATTGTCAACGACGAGCTTCGTAACGCTTATTGGTCCTTTGAAATGATTTACGTCCATCCACTTGTTCATTTGAATATTCAAGTCTGCATAATGTAATTATTTAAGTTTAATGTCACGAAATCTCTTTGCCAATTTAATTGATTTACCTCTTAGATCCGTTCCCTTAATTTCCGACGCTAAAATATTCTTGACGAAAACGCGACCTGTAAATAGCTTTTTTGAAAAATCAACGCTGTGCAAAGCTGACACTGGATTGAAGACGGTCGTGTTCAAATTATCAGCTCCGATTACGTGCGAAACATTTAAATTTTTTACAACCAAATCATCAACCGTCATCAAAGAAGTTATAATTTCTGGAGTGACGACTTCCGTAGCACATAAAGGAATCGTCAGTCTGAAAGAAATATATTTTTAGAATTATATATGTTTTTTTACAGAGAGAGAGAGAGAGAGAGAGAGAGAGAGAGAGATGTACTTTGGAATCGGAAGCTTTGCATAGGTAGCGTTTGTCAAAATGACACTGTTATTCGTGAATTTTGCACCAGAAATCACGACAGTCTCAGCAGAATTTTTTGTCACCCAATTCGCGTAATCCCACAAAGTCACGTTGCTCCATTGCTGTGAGGATAAAAATTAAAAATGCGAGATAAATTCACGATACATAGTCGCATACATATCGTATATAAATTTTAAAATAATTTCAAATAATTACTGTTTTATCGCTGGATAATATTAAGTGCACCGATACATTAGAATTTAGCGGTACGCGATTCTTCAAGATCTCTTTCAGAGACAATCCGTGAGTTCGAACGATATCTTTGGCCTTGACAAAATTGCTGAAGGTGACGTTTTGCAGAAAGTGATCGCCGTACAGGGTCAAAGGTGCGGAAATATATTTCAAGGGCGCTAATTTTTCAATTCCTTTGCCTGTTATCCCGCCTTTCATTTCGACAAGTCCCGTGACTCTCACTTTTGCGGCGGTTATCGAGCCATTCATTACAGTCGTAGTACCATTCAATGGCAAGAAAAATTCGTCCTCAGTTAGATATAGCTCTTTTACTGTTGCTTTTCTCATCCGCACTATTTGCCGAGTTCTACTCGTCGCGATGTCCAACGGGATCGAAGCGTTTGTCGCGTGCAAATTAGCGAAGATATGTGTACCTAAAATTCATGCATCAAAAATAAGATATAGTGTAAAAATATTTTAATATTTATATATAAATGTTTTTTTTTAAATATTTTAACTATTTTAAAATTTTAAATATTTAAATATGAAGAAGGAATCTTAACATGTTGTATTATATAATAAACTACCTGAAACTTCTTGATCTCCTGAAATTTTTAACGTTTTTTCTTGCAGGTCCCGCATTAATATCCCGTTGATAGATTCTTTCACAGATATATCATCTATATTAAAATTAGGGACGGGACATTTCCAATCATTTATCGTTTTTACTTTTACTTTGGCAAACTCTAGAGTCTGATTGGCAATTTCTGAGTTTACGTATTTAGCAGCAGGTTTAACTTCGTCATCCGTAATAATGCGATGAATGCGGCAAGATGTCTTGCACTTGACTGTGATCTTTTTGCCGTATAATACTGTACGCTTAGATTCTTCGGTATGTTCTGTTTCTTGCGCCAGGAAACTATTTGTCGCATTTAATTTGGCAATTGCATTCTTGTATTGTCGCGTCAAGCGAATCAATTCCTCTGCATTATAATCGTTCAGCTGTAATCAATATTTATATATAAATCTATTTTTTTTATTATGTTGATTTAAGACGGAGAATAAAAATGCTTTCTACTCGAAATAGTATAAAAAAAAGAGGCGAATATCTCTCACAAATATCTCTTACGTTTTGAACACGAAGTCGACCGATGTGTGCGTTCGAGATGACGGGATTCTTGGACTCTGGAATTTTTTCCAAGATTCTTTGAGACAACTTTTGCTTCATCTCCGAGCACCAAGCGGCTATTCCATTTTGTAAAGACTTCCACGTCTTCTTCGCGGCCCAGATGGGTCTCAGAAACTTCCATTCCCCGTCCTGATTTTGTGCCACCAGTACGTCTTGATTATTACTATACGAATGAATTCGACGAATTTGACGAGTGTTGGACAACTGTTTCGTGTGCGTTTTGAGAAATCTCCATCCGTTGTACTGATAAATTCCTATGGCGTCCTCCTCCGCGAAAAGAAGAACGGTAGTGTTTCCCATCGCCAGGGAATGAATATATGTCGCCGAAGCGATTCTTTGAAACGGCACGAAGCGACCGTACATTTCTTTGTACAAAATCGTAGAATCGTTACCGGCCAAAATCAGAAAGTGCTCCTCAAAGTGGCCTTCCTTGAAATAAAACGAGCTGACATCTCTAGCATAACGCAATCTCTGCATCTCTACGAATTTATTGGAACGTACGGAAAAACGGAATATCTTGGTGAGAGATCCTACAATCGCGACGTGTATAAAACTCTTGTTTTGGAAGGGCAATAATTTTCTTGCCCCAAAGAGCAAGCTATCGGTTTTGTCGAAGTGCTCTCCGAGCCATACGTATACGAATATCCTCGTTTCCGAGGCAATCCCCAGGTATAGTTGATTCATCCCGAGCCACATATCCGCGTGCATCACTCCGGGAATCTCGAACTCCTGTTTGAATTGTAATTCGTAATCACCGTTTTTGTCCTTGCCGAGACGCAGAATGACGAGCCCATCGGTGCCCTTTTGCACGACTATAAGCGTACCGGCGCTATAATTGCTTACAATTATCCGTTTTCCATCGGGTAGCGGATACGTTCCCGCGAGTTGCGCTTTATTATCCTAAAAAAAAAAAAATAATTATTCTTATAGTTGTACAAAGCAGGGAGCTTTGTTTTTAAATAAGTCCCTTTTATATAAAGTCTTTTTATATAAGATATTGTAACATACAACGAATTGATAAAGCGATATATTTGAGGAATGAACAGCTGCTGCAAGCCAAGTCATCAGCGATTGCTGATATTCATCTTGTATGGAAAAGAAAGCTATGTCCTGAAAGTTTGGTAGATTGAAGGATGAAGCCTCTTCGAAACCTTCTAGTACATTCACGTCTGTAAATAAAATCAAGCGATTAAGGATTAATTCAACGCATATTCATAAAAATCATATTTTATCGTCTATATGTTATATATTAAATTAAAACAACTATAATATATATATTAAGAATAAAAAAAATTGATCAATTAAATT